TGTGTGGGGGGGGGTGGGGGCAAGGTGGAGAACGAGAAAGACAAAAAACAAAAATTTGAACATACATACATATGTGATCATTATTCGATTTTGTGCTTTGTAGATTTCTTAGATGGATTTATCAAAGGGTAAAAATCAAGCAAAATGAAAATCTTTTTTTTTTTATTCAACAAAATAAAAAAAATGTTAAATTTTAATATAAATGTCTAGAAAGTCTTCTGAATCTTAATTGGAGTGATTTATCTTGGTTTCAACATTTTAATACGGAATTAAGTGAAGAAACAGCATTAGCTTATTTTTGTCAAATAGGAAATCCATTTTATGATCGATCGAGTTTAAATGAACAAATTTATATGAAAAATCTTCCAGCTGAAGCTATGGTACAAGAAAGCTCAATACATTTTATTGAAAATCTTCTGTTTTTTTTTTTTTTTTTTTGATAGTTAAATGCAACTGGTATTGAATATGCACTTATACATCGACAAGATCCAGTTTTATATATTATTCGAAAACATTTTCGTGAAGGACCAAATGAATGTATGTAATAGAATATAAATAAAAGGGTTATTAAAAGAGAATATTTAAATTATGGTCTTGATCACCTCGATGTTGGATCATTTTCGTCTCATGCGTATAAACTATTGATTTGGAATATTAAAGCATCGGATCGAGAGAGATTTTAGAACTTTGTGTAGAGTCTTCAATAAGCTACAAATTCGAAAAAAATTATACTTCTTTTCATCATTCCTGAACTAAAGAGAACACGTCCTTAAGTGTGACTCGTCAATTGAACTGATGTTTTGTCGACAAGTAAATTCTGACAAAATACTAGTAGAAGTTTATATAGGCTCGTCCCCATGAACTGTTCTTCTCAAGTTATTAAAATAGTCTCGTCGATGCTTACGTATTGTCAAAATATCAATTAGCTTGATGAATCACACTTGAGGACATTTGCTTTTAAGATAGATAAGTTGCAAAACAGTACTTTTTCGAAAAACTGAAAAATCTATTTTTGTTTGTTGAGTTACACGAACTGATTATTCTGATATTGATGAGACCAGTATATATTATTATAAATAATAACGATTTGGATTGAATCCTGGAAATGAAAGATATGATTTTAGCCTGAATAATTCAATTCTTATGTCATTCAAGACGAACTTGTAGTTTTCGAATTATTCTGCATCTTTGCCCAAGTTTAACTCTATCAATGTTCTAATTAGTACCTGCACTGACTATTATCATCATTGAATTGACACCAATTCGACAGAATAAGTGGTAGGGGGAATAACAGATTAAGTAAGATTTAGCATCACAGTATAATAACAATACTTTTTCAAGTCGTGTCGTATATTCAAATATGCAAGAACATGGAAATGCGACACTAGGGCGAAAGATGGAATTTCTTTCATGACATAATTTATCTATTATAGAAATCAAAAAGGTGATACTCATCAGAATATTGAGTTCTCATTTCTAATGCCTTTCCTGTATGTTTCATTTTCTAAATATATGACAGCAAAACTCAGTTCTCTGATATTTCCTTGCTAAGTTTTTATATCAATTTAAAATTAAATTTTATTCATTATGAAACATTAGAGTAACATGATCTTTGATAAATACTTATTTATTTTATTTCCTAAACTATTTTTTAGTAAGACCACTTCAAGAATATTATGTTCTTGCACCTGGTCATATCTATCAAGCTCCTGATGCAGCATCTGTTATTAGTCACCGATTAGTAAATATTCTATTTTAATGATTTATCTTTTTATTTATTTTATTGTTTAGTTAACTGCTGTTCATCATTTTGGTAAAGCTTTTGATGAAGGTAATAATTCCTATCGTGAAAGAAAATAATCTTTATTGATTTATTTTTTTAGCATCACAAAGAGCTGCTTATCATCCTTCGTCAGGTTATTATTGGAAAACGAATAATTCATCTGGTTTGTTTCTCTTAATTTTTTTTTTTTCAAATTAAAATCTATCATTAATAATATAGATGAATTAACAAAGAAAGATTCATCGAAAGATAAAGTCTTAACAGTTACTCAACGTGCTCGTTTTGATGCAATATTTCCTAATTATCATGAACGTTTTCGACCACGAATACCAGCTGGAACAACTACACAAACTGCAATACCTCCTTCAACAATGAATACTGAAGCTACTACAATTCCTGGTGGAGATACTAATCTTCCACGTATGTAGTTTGAAGAAAAAGAAAAACATAATGAATTTTCTTCTTTGTTTTTTTTTTTACATCATAGGAAAAGAAGAACGTACACCATCTGATTCCCAATCAAATATCAGCGAACGACCTATGATCGAAGTTAAAAAGCAAAAAACTCAAAAATAGAATTAATCGTTTCTTTTTTTCTGTATTGTTGTATATTTAGTGTGAAAAAAAAACATGTTTAACATGATATTTCGGTATTTTTAATAGACAAGATGTTCAAAAATAAGATTAAAAAATAACAAAAGAATACAATTCGAATGTTTAAATTTTTGATTTTATTCGAATCCTGCAGAAGAATTAAATATAAAAATTTATTTTCTACTCGTAATTAATTTCGTAAGCGAGAGAAATCATGATTTACTATCATGACAATTTCTAGAGTTAATATTCATTCTTATTCAAATTCAAATATTCAAAAATTTTACTAAGACATTTGAGAACGAGGTTTTCTTCTCAATAGTTATATTTAACCTCAAGCGAACATCTCTCCCTTTCCAAATGTTAAAAAAAAAGTGTTTTTTTTCGATTTTTGGTTTTTCATCGCTAGTATAGCTTGAAAGTGTCCTATGCTGAGTGCTATATAACTGGGGGCTTTTATTTGTTAGTTAGTACTATTACTAAACCAACGTCTCGAAAGTCTCAGCAGAAAACTCGTACTGCGAGATTATTCTTCATATGAAAATTTCTCATAATACCAATTTCAAAAGTTACTGAGGCACGGATCATCAACTTCTCAAACCGCCAATTTTTCGATTATTTTAGTTGAAGAAAAAAAGTCGTGATACATACAGCGAAAGTAGTTTTTCGTTTTGCTTAAAAAGCAATTTTCGAACAAAATAAAAAACGCGAAGTTTTTCGCCTTTTTTCCCACATAGTATGTTCGATCGGGCTGAAATTGTTTTAAGGAGTACTGTGGTCAAATTGAAATGCGTGTTTTTTTTTCTTCTTCAAATTGTTCTTATTATGAAATTCAATGATCCCTAAAAAATTATACCATTGAAAAAAGCACACACCTCGATTTGATCTTAGTTGTCATAAAAAAACTTCTGGCCATTTTTGGCCATGGCAACCACTGTATCTCTATAACAAGGTTTGCTCAATTATCGAGATCTATCTGCCTTGAATGTTTCGTCTAACCAATGTCGAGAAACTAAGGAACTGGAATCCCTCTTAAGAAACAATGGTTACAATTTAAGTCATCGGAAGATGGGCATAGAAGTTATTCTTCACGTTTTATTCTAGAAATATCTTTAATATCTTATCAATGTTTACTCATGTTATCCGACGTTGTTTTATACCATGTCTTATTCGACGATCACTTTCAATAGTTCCAAACAATTCTACTGTACCTTCATCACCCATACGTATTTGTATCGTCGGTAGTGGTCCTGCTGGTTTTTATTTGACACAAAATTTACTAAAACTTAATCAGACAATTCCAACAACAATTGATATCATTGAAAAAGCACCTGTACCATTTGGCCTTGTTCGATATGGTGTGGCACCCGATCATCCTGAAGTAAAAAATGTTATAAATACATTTACAAAAATAGCTGAACATGATCATGTACGTTTTATTGGAAATGTTCATATTGGTAAAGCAATTGGATTAAAAGAATTACAACAGTTTTATCATATTATTGTTCTTGCTTATGGTTCATCTGTTGAACGTAATTTAAATATTCCTGGTGAGACAACATTATCAAATATTTTTTCTGCTAAAGATTTTGTTGGATGGTATAATGGTAAAACACAAAAAAAAATCAACAATTTTTTTAAAATCATAATAATAGAGTTTTTCAAATAGGTGTACCAGAAAATGCTCAACTTCAACCACAACTTGATCATACAGATCGAGCTATTATTATAGGAATGGGAAATGTAGCACTTGATTGTGCTCGAATTCTTCTTTCATCTATTGATGATTTAGCTAAAACAGATATTACTGATGTAGCACTTGAAACACTTCGCCAAAGTCGAATACGACACGTGATACTGGTTGGTCGACGTGGACCTATGCAAGTATCATTTACTATAAAAGAATTTCGTGAACTTACCAAATTAAATGGTGTAAAATCAATGTTAAATAAAGAAGATTTTAATCAAATTGATCAAAGTATGATTGAAAAATTAGAACGACCCAGAAAAAGATTAACTGAATTAATGTTAAATACAGCTCGAACAAGTTTGTTTGATTTTTGAAATTTATAATTATTTATTAGGAAAACTATTTTTAATATATAGAACAATCGAAAGATAATGCTGAACGATTTTGGTATTTAAAATTTTGGCGTCGTCCAAAACAATTACATGGAGAAACAATTGTTGAAAGTGTTGATTTTGAACATACAGAACCTGTAGCTAATAGTGATTTTTCTGATGCAAATCTATCCGTTCAACAAAATGAAACAGTAGAAACAATACCATGTGGTCTTGTCATTAAAAGTATTGGTTATTATGGTGTCCAAGTAAGAATCAAGAGAATGATTTTTTTCTCATTCAGTTCTAGCATGGAAACATGTTATAATAGAAAATGCGGCAGAGTGAAACGGATTATGTTTATAGGAGGAACTTAGACATAGATAAGATGGTTCCACTCCTGTCTAGAGAGGTCATTATGTACGTGAGATTTAGAATGTTCGAACATAGGTACCATCCTATCTGCATCATATTAGTTTACTAACTCTATTATAATATTGGACTTATGAAATTAGTTTTAACGAAATCCTATATGAATGAAAATAGTGAAGAAATGTGAGTATAATGCTTGCATAGAATATATTACATGCATTGTAGGATATTCGTCTCTAGTAAAGTTAAAATGGTAACTGGCATATTTTAGTTTTTATTGTAAATTATTCGAGAATATGTAGTATCTCGCATAAGATTGGTACAATAGAAAGATATCTTGCTCTTCAAATTCACAATATAAAGAAAAAAAAAGTTAGAATACAGTATTGGATAACACTATACAACAATATGGGACCATTTCTGAATGACCACTTCCATTTCAATATATAGATTGATCCATGGTTACCATTTGATGAAAAACGTGGTATTATTATAAATCGACAAAATCGTATTGACGATCGACCTGGATTTTATTGTACTGGTTGGATTGGACGAGGAGCTCGAGGTGTTATTGCTGAAACTACAACAGAATGTATGAGAACCGTTATTTTTACTAATAGTAACTTTCATTGTTTATTCTTTTTATTTCAATATTCTAGCCCATACAGTTGCTAAACGAATTATGGAAGATATTGAACAAGGTCATTTGACTAATTTACATGATGTTAAATCAGGAGGTGATGGTTTAATAGCACTTGCTAAATCTCGTCAAATTCGATGTGTTTCATATGATGATTGGAAAAGATTAGATATACATGAAACAAATCTTGGTCATGCCAAAGGAAAACCACGTGAAAAAATAGTCAATATTCAAAGAATGCTTGAATTAACTGCATGTTAAAAAGTAAAGAGCTCGTATTTAAATAGATTATGTGTTTGAGCGCTGTTTAGACTTTCGTTTTTTCTTGTCTTCCAGACAATACTTTGTTGATTGATAGTACACCAAATAAATGCTTTTCTAGTGATTAATATCTTTATTTTAGATAAAATAATGTTACGTGTAATACCTTCATTTATTCGACAATCATCTTTTATAATATATCGTTCAGCTAGTCGATCATCAAATTCTCGTTCACATAATGAACCTCGTGTTCATCTTCATCCAGGAAATCAATATACAGTTGAAGAAATTGCTCAAAATATTCCCAAAGAACGTAAACATGAAATTGAAAAATTATATGAATTTGAAAAACTTGAAATTAATAATCAACCTTCAACGCGTGATGAATATCGTCATCATATCAATCGTCTGTATTAGATAATTTTTTTCTCTCTTAATTGTAGTTAGAAAAGACTTATTATTTGTTTTGTTTTTTCTTCTAGGCGGAAAAACCGGTGTATTTGATTTAGACGATATTGTTCAAATACTTCGTGACGAACGTATGAAAGATATATGTGTTATTGAAATTCCACCAGAACAACAATATGCTCGATATTTAATACTAGCTACTGCTTTTAGTGCTCGTCATTTGAAAAGTACAAGTGAATATATTAATAAATTAGTAAGGAATAACACTTGAAAAGAAAACAAAAATTTACACTGGGTATCTCAAAAGTTACTATGCAAAAAAAAAAAAAAACTTCGAATATCTTCGCTGCACGTTGATGAATCGAAATAACTTTTCCTCGATGATAGAGAAGACTTTAATAGGTATTGCTTTGGACTAACATTATTGGCTTCAATAATGATGGTTTGCTTTTTCTGATTTCTGAAAAGAAAAACACTCTCTGTAAAAGAATCGCAGATGAAGAAAAGTTTTTTGAGCCTGTAGAAGAGTATCCGAGTGTTATTTTAGAAATTAGAAAGAACAAACTATCATTGTGATTAAAGCGCATTGGAAATATTCGAATTCTTTTTTGTATAGTAACTTTTGAGACACCCTGTACATATACGTATTTTTTATTTAGTATAAAGCTAAAAAGAAACCAAATGATCCTTACTTAAGTAATGAATGTCGTGACGGTTCACGATGGCATGCTATGGATATGGGTATGTATATAGAAAAGAAAATGCTCGAATTTGCTTTGTTTTTTTTTTGCATTTCGTAGGTCATTTTGTTTTACATTTAATGGATGCTGAAATGCGTGAACAAAATGATCTTGAAACATTATGGTGTGTTGGTCCTAAATATGATGATCAAGTATATACAATACAACAATCATTAGATGCAATTAGAAAAATGGATGAGCAACTAAAAGAAGAAGAAGTATTAACAGTTGCTGATAAATATGGACCACTTGATAATCCATATTCACATGTTCGTTATCCACTCGAAGGTCCTGGCATATTTCAAGATCCACCACCACGAAAACATATGACATTAGGTGATATTCCACATAAAAAAAATGTAGAAGAACAAACAAACATTGAAGTTGAAAAGGAATTCATAAATTTGCCCAGTGATCCAAAACCACCAGTTTATAAAGGACAAAAAGTTAACTGAATTTCGTTCTCTTTTTTTTTTTTTGTAGATATACCTTCTTTTGTCAATATAAATAAACGATAGAAAAAGCAACATTATCATCATCATAAAGAAATCTTATTTGTTGCTTTAAATACACAGAAAAGTTTGACTACGTGCACTTACTTTTCAGAATTCGAGTAATTTTAACAAGATCTCCAGAATCGTAAGAAGATCTAATACGATCTTCTTATCATATTATATGCTTATATAAGATCATTCAGTAAGTTTCTATTGATCTTATAAGAATATTAAGGGATCCTATAATTAGATTGTTTGATTTGCTTTGTTTTTCGTGAAAATATTTGCAACTAAATGGACGAATCTATCTCGTATTGCTGAGAAAATTACGACTAATTTATTGAGGAAAAATTATTTAAGATCATGGTTATGTTAATGAAATAAATTAAGAAAAACATGATATTTATCACAAAAAAATCAAGACAACTCCGAAGATATTGTTCGTGAATAATACATCAAGAAAAAAAAACTAATATTGATAACATAAAAGAAACAGCTAAACCATGATTTTAAGGATGGAAAAAGCATTGATATAACCATGATGTTGATGACGAAGCCTAGAAGGACCATTTCGGCGATCGCAAACGGCTATAAAACAGCGCACTACGGTATTAATTTTCACCGTATTTCATCGTAATCCATCAGGCCATATTCTTGGATACGGGAAAGACATGTTATTTGATCTGTAAATTAGAGTACTGCACGGGTACAACTTTTCGTACCCGTACCCTACCCGACACCTTATTTGTTACCCCGTACCCTACCCTACCCGTAACCAACTGTGCCCGTACCCTACCCTACCCGTAGGTTCCAATTTCCTAGAATCTTCTCCTATTCCCGGCTCGCACCCCACATATCTGGAATAGAGTAAACCCTTCCCCAGAGTAAAAGTGCATGGCCTTATATTGCGTCTCCGCACATCGTTGCTTTCTAGGTGACCTTCTATTAAGGTCAGCTTTTGACCAATTATTAATTAAAAATTTTTTAAAACTATAGTAATTAATTATAATTAATTAATAATTTTAATTGAGGTATTTCTGGTATTTTTCGTGGAAAAACCGCTGTTTTCATGTAAAAATATGCTCTCAATGATAGAATATGGAGCGATTTCTCAAAAACACAGTAATTTTTGACTAATTATTAATTAATATTTAGGAAAAATTAAATATTTTTGTAATTAATTAATTAATTAGTGCATGGCCTTCTAATAGGGCTGATGAACTTTTGTTCAGACATGGCCTTCTAATGGGGTTGGCCTTTTATTATGGGGAGGGGTTTACTGCACGGGTACAGTTGGTT